CCTCTCAGCGAGCAGGTCCTTGGTTCAAACCCCGGTCCAGGGGCCTTTCTGGGTGGAGTTTGCATGTTCTCTCTGTGCATGCGTGGGTTTTCTCCGGGTGCTCCGGTTTCCTCCCACAGACCAAAAACATGCATGTTAGGCTGATTGGTAACTCTAAATTGTCCCTAGGTGTGAGTGAGAGAGTGAATGGTTGTTTGTCTCGTTTGTCTCTATGTGTCCCTGTGATGGACTTGCGACCCGTCCAGGGTGTACCCCGCCCCTCGCACAGTGATTGCTGGACATGGGCACCAGCGACCCCCGTGACCCAAAATGGAATAAGCGGGTAAAGATAATGGATGGATGGATGGATGGCTAGGTAGGTATACAAACTTAAGGTCCACCAGTTGTCCTGAGCATCACAGCTCAACAGGAAAGCAGCCACGCTTACAAGTAGAAATCAAGGGTTAAAAAATGAAATGAGACAAAAACCAGTGTCTCACTGGATCGTGACTGTTGGAGACCAGTCGGCAAACAGCTTTGTCTCCAGAATGCCTCGAGACATTCGTCGGGGGGTTCTCCCTTTCCTCGCTAGAGTTGCATATACTCGAAGTCTCAGAGCAGAGTTGTCATGGGGGTCTCAAACCTACCTCACTTTTATCATAGGCATCTTGAACCGGTCTCAGGAGTGCTACAGGCTGATTTTGACACCTGCCAAGTAACTCTCCTCTGACAGGAAACATCCGAGGCTACAGCCCCCAGTGTCCAATGCTACAAACTCCACAAGTTAAAAAAAAAAAGAAGACCTGGTCCAAATCTGCCTGTTTCCATTTCTGACGTGGACTCCAGTAGTTTGAATTGTAAATGTGAGGGTAGTTGCCAAGTTGAGTACAAAGTGGACAAAAGTGGCTGCAACGCGGGTGTCGTTGGGCAACAAATCAACGTGCACGAACTAGACTACCATTTTACGAGCCTTGCACACAAAACTAAAGAGCAGAAAGGGCGGCACAGTGGCACAGCTGAGCTGTCGCCTTTCAGCTGGAAGATCGCAGGTTTGCCTCCTGGCCTTTCTTATAGCCGTTGTGCGCTGTAAGATCCAGGCTGGCCTGGGTTGGACCAGCACGGGTTCCAGCCCAGATTCTGAGGTTTTGCACTGGTCTAGCCCACTTCCAGATTTTTGGAACCCAGATGCCTGGGGTTTTACGTGGGTCGACTGGTGCCCAGACTTCAGGCCAGTGGATGGTTCACTGGCCCTGTTGTACGTGCAACTGCAAACAACAGAAATCAAGCTAACATTTGCTAGCATTAGCTTACCTTCTTATGTCTCCTTGCACTCCTGCATCAGCACGATACTGTTGTATGGCCTCATACACTCTCATGTATCTTTCTGCTGTGCTTCCAATCATTTATAACTTTCTCTGCCTCTCTTTCAACTTGTTTTTAATGAAAGAAAGAACAATTAACAATAGCATGAACTATAGTGTCGCTATAAATGGCATCACGTGAGCCTAGAGCATTCTTGCTATGACAATCCTGCCCACATGCAAAAACAACCAACGTTGCACAGAGTCGGGAAGACCTGAGTCATGCCTGAACTTACAACGAATAAATGCCATTAGTAGAGTTTCCATGTTCTCCCCGTGTATGTTGGTTTACTCCGGGTACTCTGGTTTCCCCCCACAGACCTCAAAACATGCATATTGGGTTAAATGGTAAATCAAAATTGTCCCTAGGTGTGAGTGACAGTATATCTCTAAGTGTCCCTGTGATGGAATTGCAACCTACCGCTACCGGAGTCCCCGGAGAAAACCCACGCAGCACGGAAAGAACATGTGAACTCCACCCAGAAAGGCCCCCCGGGCCGGGACTCAATCCAGCAATTTTCTCTTTGAGAGGCAGCAGCTCTACCAACTGTGCCACCATGTTGCCCGTAGAAAACACTTCATTAGTAAAAATGTCACAGAAATGTTCAGATTTCCTCCGATTTTTGGCACAGCTAGTCTTGAAAAGTCAGACCCAGGTTTACTGGTTTATTTGGACTCTATCTGTATCTGTACTTATTTAAACAGTCTTTTCTTAAACGGTGGAGAAACGTCCAGTGAACATCTCTTGGGACTCATCACAACAACGTGGGATCTTTCGTGAACTCCTTTCCCTCCGTCTCGATAAACCCAAACAGGTGTGCTCTTTATTTTCACTGATTTATAAGTAAAAGGTGTTTAAGCCATGGTTCCTGTTTTATTCTTTGAAGGATCTTCTTGACGTTTGCGACGTAGTCGCTGACATGCACAAGTGGTCGAACTAACAGTCCCAACGGCTGCGCTGAACATCTTTACATGAGAAATTATGGCTTACTTGTTGGTTTACCATCCAAACATACAGTACAGGATACCTGTAGGTTTCACATGTTCCGTAGGAAACAATGGACTTTGGTAAAGTCCAAAAGTATCAAGAGAAAAATGACCTCTTTCATTGTTTTGATTTTATTGCATTTGCTGAAGGTCCTGTCAAGTATTGGAAAGAATTACTGTCGGTCAAACGGACACGATGGTTTTACCTGGTCAGGAACAAGCGGCTCCTGATCATCTACGTCAATAAAGACCTCGCTGGTGGAGAACTGGGGCGTCTCACCTTGACATACAGACACACGAAAAGGAGACAATTTTAACACAAATCCATAATTAGGGTCTTTGTTTGCGTTCATGTCTCTTACGTCTCCATCCATCCTCCACCTCTTCCTCCTCATCTTGCGCTTGCTCCTCCTCGAGAACGCAACGGTACTCCTCGAGCGACCGGATGGTGCACTGACCGACTACGGGCTTCCTCCCAAACTGACGGTTGTCAATGACTTTGATGACAATCGGCGGCATGTAGAGCTCCTCGCGGGGAAGTCTCTGCAAACAGGAAGCAAACGATAACAAGCAGGAGTAAAAGGTTATAAAAGAAAACAGCAGGAAGATCCAATATAAACAAATAAAATGGCCCCCTCCCAAGGTTTCCAGACTCTAATTGGTTACGCCACCTGCCTGCCTGATGCTGATTGGCTCTGGTTGCTGACTGTTTGATTGCTGATTGGTTACGCCTTGGTGATGCTCCAATCAAGGCATAATTAGGCCTTTTGATCTCTGATTTCTGACTCTCATTTCTTCCTACAGGAAGATATGACTCAATGCATCAAGTGATTTAAATAAATAAAATTGTGAATCAAGTCTTTCTGAGCGCAGAGTTTCATGCAAGTGTCTGCGTGGACAGTGACAGCGCGAAGAAACAAACACAAACTGAGAACACGTGCAACTGTCACGTTTCGTCAACTCAGCTTGTATTTATTACAATTATTGTCACTTTGAGTGGAAAGCCTAAAATATTAATGTTGCAATTTGTTTTAATTATTTATAGTTTGTTCAGGAAAGATTACATGATGTTTTCTGAGCAATATTTGATTTTAGTTAATAGTTTTGAAAAAGTATTCAAAAGAAAGCTTCTTATTGTAAAGTCCCTCGTGAGAACGTTCACTCTTATTTCAAACATCACAGCTTGAGTTTAAAGTAGTTTAGATATTATTCTCATTTTGTAAAATTGTTTATTTTTGACCATATTAATAACCTAGCCTGCGCGAGGCTAAGACCAAAGTGAATTGCTGCTGAAACAACTCTCGTGTTACACGTTTGCCAACACCCAGAAAATCCACTATAAATAATCGTGTATGATGAAACCACTGAATCTATACAAGTCAAACCATCCATTATCTTTTACCCGCTTCTTCCATTTTGGGTCAAGGGGGTCGCCGGTGCCCATGTCCAGCAATCACTGTTCGAGGGGCGGGGTACACCCTGGACATGTCTCCAGTCCATCACAGGGACACATAGAGACAAACAACCATTCACTCTCTCACTCACCTAGAGACAATTTAGAGTTACCAATCAGTCTAACATGCATGTTTTTGGTCTGTGGGAGGAAACCGGAGCACACGGAGAAAACCCACGCATGCACGGAGAGAACATGCAAACTCCACCCAGGAAGGACCCCGGACTGGGATTTGAACCGGCAACCTTCTCGCTGAGAGGCAGCAGCTCTACCAGTTGCACCACTGTGCTGAGTTTGCAGGTAAAAATTGCTTTGGGCGGGTGGGGAAAATTTGGGCGGATTTGGAGTCAGCTCGGCAGTTTTTGAGTTAATTTATTAAACACGTTTCAAACAATCATTATTTTATAGCAAAGCTCCCCTGACCTTTCTCCACCACTGATTGGCTATCGTCATCTGCCAGGGCGTTCACAACAGAGAACTGGTGAGGCAGTTTTAGTGGACGCCTCGTTGAGCGGCCTGACCCGTTGCGGCTGTACGTCGGAGCGGCCGCCATATTGGATGTGGCAGAACTGCCAGTCAACCGATAGAAGGAAATGGACTGAACTTCATAAAACACCGTTCTACAAAGTGTTTTATGTTAATCCCTGTCACTCACACACACTAATATATGTGGAAAACAAACAACATTTATAACTTTTAAAGTGTTTATTAAAAATGTTTACTCCTTAAATGTTTAGGTTAAGGTAAGCACCAACATAGGTATTAATGATCGGGCGGTTTTTGACAGACTTTTGGGCTGGAAAACCTCGACCCTATCTGGCAACACTGCAGTCAAGCTAATGGCTACTTACAGCTACATTAACAGCTACTCTGAGTCCTGAAAATGGCTTTAATTGTGTGTTGAGTACATTTTTGGGAGTTGAGAGCAATAATTTAAAATTCTTTGATTTTTTTATGATGAGAAAATGTTTACTACACACATTAAAAAAATAATAAAAAATCACCTGTTCCATTTATATTTGTTTCCAAATAGTTTGTAAGGTGAAATTGGCAGCCGGATAAAGATTTTTAGACGGCACTGCTTGGGTTAGCAATTAGGTCATCCATCTGGACACAAATAAAATCAGTTTCTTCGATTCGAGGTTGATCAAAGAGCCACTTACAAGAATATTAATCAATCGTAATCATTCCACAGAGCCCTCTTCAAAAGATCTGAACTATTGCTTCAGAGGGCATCACCTTCTCCAGCTCTCTTTGGTGAAGAGGATGTAAAGATGGATAGGCTTACGAATATTTTGTTTTCATGAACAGACATGATGACAAAACAGCCGATTCTTCTCCGGCTTCTATAAAAGTGAGAAGCTCAAAAAACTCAAAAAACAGTCTCAGCAGCTGTATTTAAATTAAACTTTCTCCAAATATGGTTAGTAATGCTAATTTGTTTGACCTCTCTGGGTTTAAAGAAGCTTAAGTGAACCTAACAACGTTAAAGCCAGACATCAGGCTTAGAGAGCTCAAATGAGGTGGTTAGACTCTTCAAAGAGTTGTCTGAGAAAACTGTGGATGTCACATTTTCTTCTGGCATGAGAAAACACTTATGCAGTCAACTTAAGACTTTAATATTGTTAACGGTGGATGTTTGGACTTGGTTTAGGGGCTGAATTTAAGGGGAAAATGTGCATATTTCCACAGTCCGGTTAAAGCTGTCATACCCTTGTGGTGGTCGAAAACAGGACCTTAATCGTGTTAACATTAAACAGAACGAGCTGGATCTGCATTTGAGGGAAAAATATGTGAAAATTTCCAAACTCTAGTTGAAGCTGTCATAATAAAACTCAGAGGGGATCGACTTTAGACCTTAATGTTGTTAACTTTAAACTCCCGGGCACGTTTTGGAGCTGCTGCTACTTCTGCCGCTGCCTTGAAAAAAACATTTGCACACCGTGTCAGTATTTCATTTTTGGTTTTCAGAAGAAACACTTAAGAGGAATATAACAGCAGGTATGTAAACTCGGTGAAAATAGATTTTTATAGGATGTAAAACAATAACAGGCTTTTTGATTCAAATAGTCAAGGACATTTTAGCTTCCATTGTTCATCATTATTATGTTTTATTATGAAACACAAAACCGTTTTGAGCAGTTTAGCTAATCATGGTCAAGCTAATGGCTAAATCAAGCTAACAGCAATGCAGATTTCAGCCAGCACCTGTTCAGTGTCAAGCTAACAGCTACTCAGAATTAGGCTAACAGCTACTCAAAGTTAAGCAAATACCAATTCATCAAGCTATTTGGTTCTCAGAGTCAAGCTAATACATAAATCAATCAAACACCTCAGTGTCAAGCTAACAGCTACTCCGATATCTAATAACTAATAAAAGTCAAACTAATTACTAATTAGAATTAAGCTAGTGCCTACTCAGTGTCAATCAGGCTAACAGCTACACATAGTTAAGCTAATAGCTATTCTGTGTTAAGCTAACAGCTAACCAAAGTTAAGCTAACGCCTAATTAGAATTGAGCTAACAGCTAACCAAAGTTAAGCTAATGACTAATTAGAATTAAGCTAACAGCTAACCAAAGTTAAGCTAACGAC